CAATGTCAATAGAATCTGCCCCTCGGGCAATATCATAGAATAACACCAGCCCCTCGGGCTATATATGATATCACAAGAGGTACCCGCTCTCACTGGGGGTGTACAGACTCCGGGAGGGGCCCTTTATGACCCAAGCACAATATCATGCCATCTCGTGGCATAATCAGTAGGCTCTCGGCCTCATATCGACAAGCCACCTCGTGGCGTACAATCTCAAGCCCTCGGCCTCATAATCATAAATCAGTGTATCCTCACAATACATGCCCTCGGCCTTACTTAGTTAGAACCTCATAAGCCACTCGGGCAACAGTAAAACATGATGCTCAGCTCAAATTATCATTTAGAATATCATTTAATGTGTTAAAATAGAGTAAACATGGCTGAGTTATGAAAACAATAGAATATAGCATTACTGAGTACAAGTATAAAGTCAAAACAATGAGGAAATATCAGTAAAAATCCTCTAAGGGTCCAAATAGTTGGCACGAGGCCCAAATATGGCATTCAACCCAAAACATGATGATAGCAAACAATTTTCAGTCAAATACGCGGTAAAACAGTCATTCGAGATGGACTAAGTCACAATCCCCAACGGTGCACGACCCCACGCTCGTCATTTAGCATGTGCGTCACCTCAATATAGCACAACGATGTGAAATCCGGGGTTTCATACCCTCAGGACAACATGTACAATCATTACTCACCTTTATCCGGTCTAAATCTCTAGCCCGCGCTGCTTTTGCCTCTCGAATCGACCTCCGAATGCTCCAAATCTAACTAAAATCAGTGCAAAACCATCAAAATATGCTAAGGGAACAAAGCCCACTAGAAAGAAATCAAATTACAACACAAATCCCGAAATTGGCCAAACCCGACCCCTGAGGCCACGTCTCAGATTCCGATAAAAATTACAATAATAGAATCCTTATCACTCCCCGAGTTCATTTATATCAAAATCACCAAAATCCAAACTCAAATGATCCCTCAGATCCTTAATTTTTGGTCTCCAATTACAAGCCCTAGTTCTTCAATATTAGGCTTAAATTCCATGATTAATTTGGTAGAAATCACATTAGGATCGAGTATTAATTCCATAAATCTTACCTTCAAGTGTTCCCCCTTGAATCCCTCTTCAATCCTCTTCAAAAAGATTCAAAATTGCCCAAAAATGGTGGAAGTTAGCCCCAAAATCATGGACAATGGCTATTTAAACATTCTGCCAAGGCATTCAAAACCTTTTTCGCGAACACGGTCAAAGCCTCGCGTTCGCGAAGCACAAACTGACGTTGACCACATTTTCCTCCTTCGCGAACGCGTCTAACCTCTCGCGAACGCGTTGCTTCTTGACTCTAACCTTCGCGAACGTGGCTCCCCTTCTCGCGAATGCGTAGCTCAATGGCCCAGCCCTGCACGAACGCGGGACCTCCCTCACGAACACAAAGGCCATTTTAGCCTCACCTGCTAACCCTTCGTGAACGCGAGGGCCTACTCGCGAACGCGAAGGCCAATTGTCTGCAACATGCACAATAGTTTTTCTGCAATCCTTCGCAACATGAAATGGTCCGATTGCCCACCCGAAACTCACCCGAGGCCCTCGAGACCTCAACCAAACATGCCAACATATCCCATAACATCATTCAAACTTGTTCCAATCTTTGGAATGCTCAAAACAACATCAAAACACCGAATTCGCATCGGATTCAAGCCTAAGAATTCCTAAATCTTCTAAATTACGCTTTTGATCAAAAAGTCTACCAAACCACATCTGAATGACCTGAAATTTTGCACACACATCCCAAATGACACAACGGAACTACTGCAACTTCTGAAATTCCATTCCGACCCCTATATCAAAATCTCACCTATCAACCGGAAAACGCCAAAAGTCCAATTTCGCAAATTCAAGCCTAAATCTACTCCGGACCTCCAAAACACATTCCGATCATGCTCCTAAGTCCCAAATCACCTCCCGAAGCTGTCCAAACCACCAGAACTCACATTCAAGCCCTTTAACATATAAGTCATCATTCGGTTGACTTTTCCAACTTAAGCTTCCACAAAAGAGACTAAGTATCTCAAACCTTACCAAAACCTCTCCGAACCTGAACCAACCAACTCGGTAGCACAAAATATAGCTGAACAAAGAATAAGAAACAGAAATGGGGGAAACAGAGCGGTAACTCATGAGACGACTGGCCGGGTCATCATACTTTATTTTTCTGTAATGACTGAATTTTAACTTTACAAGAGTCCTTGTAATGACCAGTTTGACCACAGTGAGTGCACAACCTATTATCAGCCACAATTACATACTTTTTATGGGGATTATAGGAGGTTTTAGCCTTTTGGAACCCGATGCCTTGCCTGTTTCCATCATTACTCCTGTACATAGACGTTAGTACATTAGGGGACTGGGTCTATTTAAGTGACTTATCAAGATCATTTTTAACCTTTTTTAAATCCTTCTGAAGTAATCTATTCTTTTCAAGCTCAGCAATAAGACTTGTTTTAACTTTCTTAAGCTCACTTTTTGGTTTACTTTTTCAACAAGTTGTGTTCTCTAGTTACTTCTTCCACTTGTTCCCTTATATCTTCAATGGAAACTACCATATCATCCTTTCTTGCTCAGTAGCTGCAATTTTCTCTACTAGAGTAATCTTTTCTTTGCTAAGGTTCTCTATGGTTTTCTTTTTGTCAAAAACCACTACCATCAAATCATCTCTAGATTGTTCAGCATCTCATAACTCTATAATTAGGGCATCATTATAATTAACAAAACTATAATATGTATCAATTAGAACATTTTCTAATGATATCAATTTCTTCGAAGAGTAGGACTTCATATTTCTCTGAACATCCCTGAAATTTACCTCATCATTGTCATCATCTTCATCCTCATCGGACTGAGCCATCAATACAAATAGTGAATCATATTCCTTTGCTTCATTTTGCACTGCTATTATGGAGCTACTTTCTGCATCTGGTTACTCTCCTGATTCACTAGAGGAGTCTCTCCATACAGCAAGAGCTTGCTTCACAACATTGTTAGCTGCATTTTTTCGGCTGAATTGCTTGTCAGGAACCGAGTCCCTTTTTACTACTTGTCAGCATTGTGTTTGCAATGCTTTTGTTTAAGAAATGGGCATTCTTTGATGAAATGCCATGGTTTTCCGCACTTCTGACAACAACCATTTCCTTTGAAATTCCTGCTGGAACTTTCTTTCTTTGGGATCCCACCATTTTTGCAAATCATCTTCTGAAATCTTTGTGGTCTATTGGTTGATTGACTTTCCTCGAAGTTTGGTGGAGCAGTCATGTAGATCCTTTCTAGGTGTTAACCTTTTAGAAAGAACTTGCTTTGATACCAAGTGTTAGAAACTAAGCGTCCACCAGATTGTATACAGAACCAGGTTCTCTATGCATTTCCATAAAAATACTAATGAACCAAACTGTATAGCGATCTGGTCTTATATCAGTTTGGTACAGTGCTAACTACTGAACAAGTATGTAAATGAGACACATGATAAGTTCCCACTGTATAGAGAACAAGATTCTCTATAAGTTCCCACTGTAAGTAACAGACTATAAAACCAGCCAGTATAGGGAATCGGGTTCTCTATTTGTTCCCACAGTAACTTGGCAGTAAATAAAGAACACAGAGGATTTTTATGTGGAAAAATCATAACTCAAGGGGACAAAAACCATGGCGCTTGTAGGCTTTAACTTCACTAACTTGTAAACCCCTATTATAAGCCACTTTGTAATAACTCTATTACAAAGGATTCAACTCAACTAACTTGTGGTACTCTCACCACAAGCCACTTTGTGACTCTCTAGTTACAAAGACTTTGACTAACTTGTGATACTCTCACCACAAGCCACTTTGTCACTCTCTAGTGACAAAGACTTTAATCACTCTAACTTGTAATAAAACTATTACAAGCCACTTTGTAACTCTCTAGTTACAAAGACTTTAACTTATGACTACACCTAGTCACAACATAAACTGGAGAGTTTACGGATTTTGGGTTTCCTAAAAATAGCTTCTAAGAAAGCAAGATAGGAGTTACAATGAAGAACAATTAACAAAGACTCAACAAACCTAAGGACTTAAGATATCTTCAATCTTGGATCCGGTCCTTGAGGTTGCAACAACTTTGTTCCTGAGAGAGGTTCTGGCAAGCACTTGAGAGAGGATTTTCGTTTCTGATTTTGCAAGTCTTGGAGAGGGATGCCTTGTGTCTTGCACCAGGTTTATATTACAAAAGACATCACCTTAGTGATGTCAAATCTTGGTTAGTACATGCCTCTTCTTAATGGGAAGTGACTGCTGCACTGTCTGCTACACTGTTGCGTGTACAGTTACATGCAGTCACTTTCTGTAGTTGCTTTCCAGTTGTACTATTGACTTATACTTCTGTCAGGGGAACACCAAGGTATCGAGTCCCCAATCTGGTTCTTGTGAGTCTAAAGGCACACTGCCCAGATTATCTTGAGTCGATTAACTTGAATGATTGTACCAGGTATGCTTCAGGTCCTTTATATGGTTCTCTCACAAAGTAAGTTATTTTACCTTCCTTTATTGTATTTATAATTATGTGACATCACTTACAATGATGTAAGCAAGGTAGGTAAAAAAATCCTTCCACATAAACTTGACTGCTGCACTGTTTCTGTACAATAGTGTGTGCATGCAGCAACTTTCCTGCTGGAGCGTTCACTTTATATAGTCTCTCTAGGAACTGGTAGGGACCTGTTCCCTCATCTGTTCCTTCCACTCTTCCTCACTTGAGTCATTGCTATCAGCTTTGAGTACCAGGTTCTTTTCTTTCTTTGATTCTCTTCTTTCATTGTCTATCTTCCTCTTCATCTCGTAGGTTTTCAGATTTCTAACCAGCTCTTCTATGGTCAGCTCTTGCAGGTCCTTTGATTCAGTAATAGCATTCACCTTGCTTTCCCAAGGGCTAGATCCCAACCTGGAACTTTGTGATCTCAAGGTCTTGTAAATGTGTAACAGGTTCCTTATCTGGTTCTGGATGGTAAGTTTGTTAGATCATCAAATTACAAAGTAAAGTACTTATGTGCAGGGTACTTGTAACCTATCACAATCCCTACCAGGATTAAGTGGGAGCCTTACATGAGGGGGCATTACAAACTTAATACTGATAGTGCAACTAAGGGTAACCTAGGGGTAGGGGGAATTGATAGAGTATAGGACACACAAATGTGATTGGATACTTGGGTACCTATAAAACATACCACACACTACCAACACTCTTGCGAAACTAACAGCTTTGCTTAAGGGACTCCAAATTGCAGAACAAAATGGCTTGATACTAGAAGTTGCCACAGATTCATCAGAGGTAATAAGAATGTTAATCACATAGAATAGAACTTATGATCCTATTATATGTGAATGCAGGTTGTTGATCCAAAGGATGGCCAGAGTAGTAGTGAAACACAGCTATAATGGGGCGGGAGCAGAATAGGGTGGCTGATGCATTGGCAAAGGAAGGAGCAAAAACAAGCTTTTTAGGAAGAACAATAATGCTACCAGTTCCTCCGTGTTTGCAAATGAATTATTTTGGGCAGACATCCTAGGAACTAAAGTAACTATAAATATTTTATCTTGTAATATCGACACGTTGGAACAAAACATATCTGTCTTAGGGGGATTGCAATATCCCCCAAGTAATCAGTACTTTGTAGTGTAATTATTTATGTATATGCAATCTCCTTTACCAAAAAGAAAAAAGGAATGACAACAGCCCTCTTGATTGATCGATGCGAGTCTGAGATGTAGCCAGTAGCTAGCTGGTTGTATCCCAATTAACGTATCAAATCACGATGAAAGACCATGTATGCTCAGAGACTCACAGTGCAAATACAGTTTCCACGAATTCAATTTTGGAGGAGTTACCATCATAGGTAGATCTATGATTTACGTTTTACCTATACAATTTTTAAGATTTTTAGTATTAAAATATTAGTTTCTAAAGTTTGTATATACTATTTATTGCAATTATAATATATTTTTTATATAAATTATGTTCGCGTTTAAAGTATGAAGTACATGTAAACTCGGTCCCACTGCACTAGAGCTGCCCCTAGTTATCATATTGTAAACCTATATACTAGTTTTTTGCATGTTCACTACTAATGTAAATGTAGGCATCCTATATGTTAGAGATTGTGTGTCCACCAGACTGTATAGAGAACCGAGTTCTCTATGTGTTTCCTCTAAAAGTACTGATGAACCAAACTATATAGGGATCTGGTCCTATATCAGTTTGGTACAGTGCTAAGTTTGTGTGAGTCCACCAAATAGAGGAGTACCTGGTCTTTTATCGGGTTCTGTAGTGAATACTAGTAAAGCTGAATGTAAATAAGGCCGTGGATTTTTACGTGAAAAAATCCCACACAAGAGGATCAAAAAACCACGACCTACACCTGTAGGCTTTTAACTTCACTAACTTGCAATCTCCATATTACAAGACACTTTACAATAACTCTATTGCAGAGAATTCAACTAACTTATGATGCTCTCATCACAAGCCACTCTATAACTATCCTAGTTACAAAGAATATGACTAACTTGTGGTATTTCTGCCACAAGTCACTTTGTCACACTACGACTACAAAGGCTTTGACTAACTTGTGATATTTCCACCACAAGCCACTTTGTCACACTACGGTTACAAATGATTTTTCTTATGACTCAACCTAATCAATGCTTCTAAGAAAGCTGGATAGGACTTACAATGAAGAACGCATAACAAAGACTCAACAACCCTAAGGACTTAAGATATCATCAATCTCGGATCAAGTCCTTGAGGTTGCAACAACTTTGTTCTTGAGAGAGGTTCTTGAACACTTGAGACAATATTTTCCTCTTCTGATTTTGCAAGCATTGAACCTGAATCTTATGCCTTGCATAAGGTTTATACTACACAAGACATCCTTAGTGATGTCCAATCTCAATGGTGATGTCCAATCTCAATGGTGATGTCCAATCTAAATGGAAAGTGGCTGCTGCACTGTCTGCTGCACTATTGTAGGCAGTCACTTTCTGCAATTGCTTTCTAGCTATAGTTGGCTTGTACTTCTATCAGAGAACCCTAAGGCACTAGGTTCCTATTATGTTCCTCTTTGTACAGTTGCAGACAATCACTCAGTTGCGTTCCAGCTGTATAGTTGACTTGTACTTTTGTCAGAGAACTCTAAGGGACCAGTTCCCTATTGTGTTCCTCTTTGTACAATTGCGTACAGTCACTTTCTGCAGTTGTGTTCCAGCTGTATAGTTGACTTGGACTTTTGTCAGGGGAGCACCAAGGGATCAGGTTCCTGATCTAGTACTTTTGCACACTTCCCAGATTATCTTGAGTTGAGTAACTTGAATCATTGTACTTTAGTTGATTAGAGAATGAGTGGGCGCTGGAAACAGTGTAGTGTGACAGAATCTTCGTTTCCAGCTGTGTCCAATTGACTTTGTACTACCGTGAATAACCCACATGAATATCAGGTCCTTGTTTGGGTTCCTACCTTATGAAGCTTTCCTGAAGCTGTAGCAAGTTCACATTTGGCTGGAATCCGTTAGATGCAGTGTAATCAAGTGAGTCAGGTTCCCTATGTGGTTCTTAACATTAAGTTTATTAGATCATCAAAACACAAGACAATGATATTGAAAACCCATCAATTTTTCCCTTTTTGACGATGACAAAGAAGTTAGAGTTTAGAGAACCATATTGGATAACAGGATACCACAAGTCCCCCTGACTTTATACCCTTACTTACACATGTTTCCTCATATGTTCCCCCTAACTTTTTGCTATCATTCTTGGTTTGTTATCTGGTTTCATATAGAAAGTTTGTTAGATCATCAAAACATAGCTTAAAGACTTTAAGCCCATCAATTTCCCCCTTTTTGATAATGACAAACTTTTGAACATTGATGACTATTTGACTTAACCAGATAAGGTACCGACAACTGCATATGTTCCCCCTGACTCTATTCTTCCCCCTGACATATATTCCCCCTAACTCTATTCTTCCCCTTTTTGGCATCAACATAAAGACACAGTCAGACAAAAAGGCATAAAGAAGTCCAACAAAGCTAACTCATGCCACATATGTGCACACAATTATGATAGAAAAGAGAAGCAAAAGGGAAAACACGCATTGTACAAGCAAAAGAAGAGCTATTTTATTGATAAGAAATTTGACTGCTTCAACATGAGCAGTACGGTGAAATTCAACATGCCATCACAAAAAGACAAACAAAAAGAAAAAGAATAGCCACAGAATCATTAGAGCAAAAGATAACTGGCCACTGAGAGGATCCTGGGGGGCACTAGAAGAGGGAGGCTTGGAAGAGAAGGCAGCAATGATTTTGAGAGCTAAGTCCCTGCGGGTAGTTGCAGACAACTGTTAGTCAAGTAGTTTCTCCCACAGGTTCTCCACTAGTGGCCTAAGTCCACAACTTGTCTCATACCTGCCATATGGTCTTCATTGAACCAGGTCGTCCCACAATTTCCCACTTTTGTTTTCTAGATATTTTAATAGACTTCCCATTCCTGCTCGCAACAACATCAATGTCACCCTCAAACAAATCTTTCTCAGCCACAACCTTTTGTAGATCTTTTTACTAAGGAACTAGGTTCCTCCACAACATCTTTATCAACCTCAACCACTGGAGTGTGTTCATCAACCACAGCTTCCCCCTATTTCATCAACCTCTTCTTCTTTTTTTTAATACTCTGCTTACTCTTCTGCAAGGCAGAATCAAAAGATTCCCTTTTTTTTTGACAACCACCTGGTTTGTTTCAGCTAAAAGAGTATCAGGCTCTTCATTAGGTTCTTCTATGACAATATCATGAACCGGAGACTCAAAAAGCACCAGAGTCCTTTCATCCCCTAAGAATGGAGTTTCTTCCCCCTGAGATTTAGGAACAGAGGAGAAGTAGGGTTTGTAACACATGGACGTGAGACAAATGAGTAGAAGTGACTAGAGATGAGGATGAAACCAATATGGGTACAGTAGTATTAAGGATAGTGAAGAAGTGGGTTTTTGGTGGTAGTGTTAAAGGAGATGGAGATATGGGAGTGATGTTGATGGCAGGAGAAGGAGACGATTGTTCGTTGGCCATGGTGAAGGAAGTGGTAGAAAGTTGTGAAAAAATTAAAGAGATGCAGAGGGAGACAGTGGGAACTGCTGGTCTGAAAAGTCGGATGATGTGGCAGTTGAATTAATTTTTCTATCCTTTTGTTAGAATAAGCATGCGAAAAACACATTACTACTAACCTGCGGTGCAGGAACTAGGTTCCTGACCTGTTTTTGTAAAAGGGTTTTAGCAGCTCTCCTCCAAAATTCAACCCTATACCTTTAGCTTCTATGATCATTATGCGTGTTTACCTGCAACAGTATAGATGTGAGTTAGGCCTAGCCAGAAAACACTTTAGCCAATTTTACCTTAGTGTGACTATCACAGTCATGTCAGCAGAACCAGGTTCTCAATTAGGTTCAAGTAATCCCAATGCCATCTTGTTTTTCAAAGTGTTCCCTGCTCAGAGCTTTGTGGAGATATCTGCAATTTGATCTTCCGTGCAACAAAATCTTATACAAATAAGACCCTTTTCCACATTGTCCCTGAGAAAATGGTGTCTAACATCAGTGTGCTTGGTTTTCTTGTGTAGAACCGAGTCTTTGCCATGTTGAGAGCACTGGTGTTGACACATAGAAGCGGTACACAATCAATGTATACACCAAAATCTTCCAATTTTTGCTTGATCCATAGTGAATGAGCACATCACGAGGCAGACATGATTCAAGGAAATGAGCCATTCCAGATGTGCCTTTCTTGTCCACCAGATAACCTGCATAATCAGTGTCAGCATAACCAATAAGGTTGAAATTGTCACCTGAAGTATAGTACAGAACTAGGTTCTGTTTGCCCTTAAAATATCTCAGAATTCTCTTACCAGCCTTCAGATGAGATTCCTCAGGATTTGATTGGAACCTTGCATGTAATCCCACACTGAATACAATGTCTGGCCTGCTAGCAGTAAGGTAGAGTAGAGATCCAATGATTTCCATGCTCCCATGTCAAACCTTTTCAAGAGTTCTTTGATGCATTTTTCTGACTGATATATGTTCCTTTTATGGACAGCTTCTCTTGAAGACCCAGGAAGACATTCAGTTCCCCCATCGTACTCATTTCAAACTCACTTCCCTTGAGTTTAGCAAATTTTTCATATAACCAAATGTGATGTCATCCACATAAATCTGATCAATGAGCAGGTTCCTTCCCCGTTTCTTCAAAGACAATGTATTGTCAATCTTTCCTCTTGATTGAATCCTTGGACAGCAAGCCTTGATTTGTTCCTTGTAGCATTTTCATGTTCATCCAACTCATTCCTGAATACCTACCTGGTGCCTATGATGATTCTGTCTGAGGGTAGTGGTACCAGGTACCATACCTTGTTTCTCTTAAGTTGATGTAGTTCCTCTTGCATTTCAGTAATCCAGTCTGCATCCTACAAGGCTTCCTTGGTATTTTTGGGTTCTTTTTGGGATATAAATGCTGAGAAGGCTAGGGAATTTCTAGTTTTTGATCTTTTCTGAACTCCAGAATTAAGGGGGTAATTATATTATCAAGTGAATGGGAGCTTTTGTGTTTCCAATTTGGGACTGAAGATTGATTGGTAGAGAAACTGGGTAAGTTGAATGGATTTCCCTGCACTCCTTGTTCAGTTACTTGGGGAGTCCCTTGCACTGCATCTCC